AGTCAACTCTGAGAAGCAGGTGCTTGTCAAATGCTCTCTTCCCAGTGCAGAGCGGGCGTGGACATTTCAGCGCCTACCTGCGGGGTCCTCTGGTCCTGACTGCGACCTCTGGTGTAATAGGTCAGGCACTAAATCCTGGATGGGCAGGAAGAAGCTGAGTGACCTCCGCGTCCACACGGCACAACTGTGACTGAGGCCAGGGCTCTGTCCACCACGTCACGTTGCATTACTTGGAGGTTTGCTTATATTTTTAGCACCTGGATGTCAAGGGTGGTGATTAAACGGGAGCAGACATTCCATTCAGAACCACCCTGAGCCAGGACTCCGCGCCCCCCCCGCCCGCCCCCCAAGCAAACTCTGGACGAGTCCTCTTTCGTCCCCTATTTTCATAACTAATGTTGAGCTCAGGTCTAATTGCATAGAATCCTGTTCACAAGGCCAGACATGCTCAATGACAGTTGAACACAACTGTCTACAATCACACAGGAGTATAAGACCAGCAAGTAGAAAGTGAAATTAAGAAAAAGAACCTGAACAGAATGTAAAGTGGACAGATTGTGCTCATCTATACTAACAAAAAGTCAACTTGTGGACATGCGGAGGACTTTACCCAGTTTTCAAACTAGGATTCCCACAGTTCAGGATCGTGTCACTTACTAGAATACAGGCAGGGGAAGTGTCCATTAAAACATGTACCTGAATTTTGTTCCTTTTTTTAAAAAAAAAAACAACCTGCACAGGTAATCACTGAAATTGAACTAAACTTAGATCTTGGGGTTATGAATCAATTCCAGTGGTCCAGACACCCTTACTGCAACTACCAGGTAACTAACAGCAAGGCAGAAAACTCAGTGCTGGGATCTTAGATTACTAAGGCGGTCTCATTTGCGAAGCTTTAAAACGACTGGATGAAGGAGAAATTGTTACCCTCGGAGCCCAAACAGCATCATGAAAAGCATCATTTGAATGAACAGAAAGTGGTTATCAGCAAAAGAAACAGCTAAAGGGGTTCCTTTTCAGTCTTGTTTTCTTTTTAGAATGTTCTATGTTCTTCTCATCATGTGTGGGATGACATCTGTCTTAGCAGGTTCCTTAACTACACTGGATGATGTCACTCCGACCAGGGCAGGGCACTGACTCAAGTCCTGGGGCTCCTTGGACCAACAGACTATTTTACAAACCTGGGAGGTGGGAGGGATGGTATATTTTTGATAACCAGACATTCCAATGTAATGTTTTCCTTAGCAGTCACTCCCCTCCACACCAATTAATGTTATTGTGAAAAATATCAATGTGTTCTTTTCTATTTTCGTATAATAAATGGGCTTTGCTTACCAACATCACAATGGCAAAGAAGAACTGTACAAAACTGCAGGAAGATAAACATGTGAAAACTTTCTATGGAAAAAAAAAAAGAAAAAAATACTGAGTTTCCTGTCGTCTTCTTTTGAAACTGTAGTGCGTATGTTACAACGTGTATCATTTACAGTATTGAGTCACGTGCCACTGCTGTACCGGATGTATCCAATCTGGATTAAACTATGTGCCACAAACCCTAAAATGATTGTTTATTTTAATACCAATTCTCCTGCTATCCACTAGAAAAAAAGGGTAATCTAAACAAAGGGATACTTTCAACCTTGCTAGAGAAAAGTCACAGCACATGAAACTACTATAATAGTGTCTGACAACTGTAATCAGGGGGAAACAATTTTAAGTCAGAGTCTCAGAAAGGTGCTTAAAAGCCTAGTCCAATCTTCCCTCCCCACCCTCCCTCAACTCGAGCACCTCCTCCGACGTCCATGGCAGTTCTCACCTGCTTGCATCTTTCATCACGGATGTTCGCCAACAGGAAAAGCATTTGACTGATTTGTCAACAGCTCTGCTCTGAGGCCCAGCCCTGATTGAGAGAAATTCTACTGGTTCTAAGAATACACCGAGTATATACGCCTTCATCTAAGGCAGAGGTGGGGAACATCCGGCCTCTGGGCCGTATAAGGCATGTGCAATCATTAGGTCTGGCCCTGCCAAGGGATAAGGGCGAGTTAAATGTTTGACCAAATATAGCAGGTTAATTTTTAAGTTGATAATTTTGTATGGCCCACGAATGATGTTATAAATATCCAAATGGCCCTCAGCAGAAAAAGAGGTTCCCCACCCCTGATCTATTTAATAAGCCAAGGGCTCAAACTAAAAAAGCTCAAACTTGCCCTGGCCGGTGTGGCTCAGTGGATAGAGCGTCGGCCTGCGAAATGAAAGGTCCCGGGTTCAATTCCGGTCAAGGGCACATGCCTGGGTTGTGGGCTCGATCCCCAGTGGGGGGTGTGCAGGAGGCAGCTGGTCCATGATTCTCTCTCATCATGGATGTTTCTATCTCTTTCTCCCTCTTCCTTCCTCTCTGAAATCAATGAAAATATATTTTTTTTTAAAAAACCTCAAACTTAAGGGCTGTATAGAGTACAGCAAAAAGCTTGGGAACCAGGTAACAGAGCTCGAGTTTAGGTTCCATCACTTACTTACATGACTCCATATCAGTCACTTTTCTCTTGGCCTCAGTCTGCTTCCTCATCGTAAACATGGGGGACTTGGACGAGGTATCTTGAAGATCTGCTGTAACCTTAATAATTCTGATTCAGATAGTGAGAGCAACAGGCATTTTCATGTCACCATGATGTGGCAACAACTATGGGAATCCTTTTAATTTCCCCACAACAACCACATCCCAAAGAAAACTAACAGAAAAGGAACATTAGGACAAATGCATGATGCCGCAAGGCCCTAGGCTGTGAAATTCATTTCAATCACAGATGCTCATATCCTTATCACCCACTAGGTGTCACTACAGACCCATAACTCAAATGATCTGTAGAAAAAGTAACTGGAAACCAGATGTGCTTTGAGCAACATGTGCTCTTTTCATTAAAAAGCAGTGTTAACTGGGACACACACACTTGTTCACAGAGGCACCAAATAATAAACACTTGGCCAAGACAAGAGAATCACCCTGTGCCCTGGAGGGTGTGGCTCGGTTGGTTGGAGCATTAACCTGGCACCAAGAGGTCGCAGGTTCAATTCCCAGCCAGGGCACATGCCCAAGTTGCAGGCTCAGTCCCCAATAGGGGGTGTGCAGGAGACAGCCAATTCATGATTCTCGGACTCTCCCTCTCCCTTCCTCTCTCTAAAAAAAAAATCAATAAAAACATACTTTACAAAAAGAGAATCGCCTTGTGATGGAGTCCAGTATCAGCTGTGACTATCACAAATACAATTTTATTTTTTAAGATTAACAGGTTTGCCGAAACCGGTTTGGCTCAGTGGATAGAGCGTCGGCCTGCGGACTGAAGGGTTCCAGGTTCGGTTCCGGTCAAGGGCATGTACCTGGGTTGCGGGCACACCCCAGTGGGAGATGTGCAGGAGGCAGCTGATCGATGTTTCTCTCTCATCGATGTTTCTAACTCTCTATCTCTCTCCCTTTCTCTCTGTAAAAAATCAATAAAATATATTTAAAAAAAAAAAAAAAAAAAGATTAACAGGTTTATTTACATTTAGGGGAAGAAAAAACCCTAAAACTTCAAACTACTCCCTTTTCTCATACAAGTTGGTCCACAAGTACCCTAACTCCTCCTTCAGTTATCTTTTGTATTTGAAGGCTGAAGCTTACCTTTAAACCGCGTTTTTAAAAGATTAGTAAATTTTACTCCTTAAGCTACTTTAGAAAATACTGCTTTAAAATTACCCCAAATCGTAATTTACATTCTAAGTCAGAATTATCCAAAGCAGGCTGCCCAAAGATTTCTCTATGTTACCACCACCAGCCCAACTTAAATTAGATTAAGCCCAACTTGGAAAGCTGTCGTCAGATATTTAACCCATTCACACAAGTTACCTGCATTTATAAAGACTCTCTAGTCGCAAAATAATTCTTTTCCCTAGCCAGAAAGTATTTTCTCTTATTAGTAATATAGTAATTAGATCTTAGAACTGAAAGGGGCCCTAAAAGTCTTCTAGTCCAGCTTCCTCATTTTATTTATGAGAACTCTGGAACCTGAGATGTTTAAATGACTAGTATAAGGTTAAAACGTAGGTAGCACAATGCTCTTTACACAAAACATTCTCAAGTGAATTCACCTAAAACAGATTACAGGGACATGCACCTAGACCAGTGGTCGGCAAACTGCAGGTCGAGAGCCACATGCAGCTCTTTGGCCCCTTGAGTGTGGCTCTTCCACAAAATACCGACTTCTACGCATGGGCCATGAAGTTTCAATCGCACTGTACGTGCACGCCCACACATGGTATTTTGTGAAGAGCCACACTCAAGGGGCCAAAGAGCCGCAGGTGGCTCGCGAGCCGCAGTTTGCCAACCACTGGCCTAGACTGATAACTGCCAACAGTCTTTTCCACACACACGGATTCTTTCTACAGCCACAACTGCATCCCTTATTCAGGAAGGCTTCGGCTAAAATTTTCCTAGCAAACCCAATGGAAAATGAAACAATTAGTAAAATTTTCTTGTTATGCACATGCTCACCTCCAGCTTATCCTATATAATAAAAGGCTAATATGCAAATCAACCGAACAGCAGAACGACTGGTCACTATGATGCACACGGACCACCAGGGGGACAGACGCCCAACGCAGGAGCTGCCCCCTGGTGGTCAGTGCGCTCCCACCACCTCCACGGCAGCGCTAAGGCTGTACGACTGAGACATCCCCCATGGGCTCCCGGACTGCGAGAGGATGCAGGCCGGGCTGAGGGGCCTCCCCCACCCCAACACCCCCCCCCTGCATGAAATTCGTGCACTGGGCCTCTATATATTTCAAAAAGGACAAACACAAAATACAACAAACCTTAAAAGAGAATCCAATTAATTCTGAGACTAATGGGTAACCTCATTCTAATTAGGATGCAGCAGTGCTCTATTTAAAATCCCCTAGCAATGACGAACGGCGCAACTGGCTACACTGAGAAAAGGATAGAAAAAGAGAGGTACGTTCAATTATATAGCAATGACAGACTTTTATTTCAATGAGTAATTAGTCTCTATTGACATACTGGTCCTAATTATGGATTTGCTATTTAGTGTTAATTCATTCACTCTAATCTGGCGAGACCTGATACATATAAGCAAACCCTACCACTGGCCATCCCAAGCAACAGGAATCCAAGTTAAACAGAACTTGGGGACGGTGCTGTGTGAGTGCTGGAAGGTAAATGCCAATGGCCTCGGCTGTGTGCTCACAGCCCTGTGGGAACTGATTATGCTGCCTAGCCAAGTACAGTCACAGGCACAGAGAGCTTTCCTTTTCAAAACTAAATAAATACATATCGCTATCCAGGAGGGATTCTCTCACCACAAACACAGCTCACAGAAAAGGCCTGGGAGCCAAATGTGTCCATGATAGGACTGCCACAGAGAAGAAATGAAAGAATAACTTACAATTACGTTTTTCTAAATCATAATTTATAGATGTATACCACAGAAAAATGACTTCCCTTAGACCCCAGTATTAGGTAGAAATTTGAGGGAAGCTCTAGAATACACAAGGACACACGGGAAGAGTTTGAACAGGAGTTCCAGCCTCCACCAGATACTTCACACGAAGAGTGAGGACCTTCCCATAGCCCCCAGCATAAGGCCGTTCTTAACCTCAGCTCCTCATGGGCTCAGAGGGTCTCGGAACCCCTTGGAATTAGAAACACATCCAGTTCTGGTTTACAGATAAGACATTTCCTGGGACATTGCTTTCATCAGATGCATTAAAAAGATCCAAAAAGTAACCAAGATGAGCCCTGACTGGTTTGGCTCAGTAGATAGAGTGTCGACCTGCAGACTGAAGGGTCCCAGGTTCGATTCCAGTCAAGGGCATGTACCTTGGTTGCGGGAACATCCCCAGTAGGGAGTGTGCAGGAGGTGGCTGAATCGATGTTTCTAACTCTCCATTCCTCTCCTTCTCCCTTCCTCTCTCTAAAAAATCAATAAAATATATTTTTAAAAAAACTAACCAAGATGAAAAGCTGCTCTTCTTCCTGATGTGCTCAGCTGCTGAATGCAGTGTGAAGAAGTGGGCAGCGTTCATAATCTTAGAAACAAGATAGTCAACAGATGAACAAGATGTCAACAAAGTCGGCTAAGTTTGTATTTTTACTGTCACAAATAAGTTTACTGGAAGCAAAGAGCATCAAATCAAGTACTATTGGGAAAGTTGGAAGCAACGTTTACTCCTTCCTGCCTAAACCTAAAAGAAAGGGGATTTTCTGACCTATCACAAATTTCTATAAGAACGTACATACCTCTATGGAAGTGCAGCCCAAGCCTTTTGTAAAGAACTCCGCAGCATAAACTAGCCGTTTTCAAACCTCAACTCTTTTTATTTTCTTAAGCAGTGGTATAGCAGTCTTTTCAAATGTTTCTTTTTGGAATGGCTTATAGAAAATGGCACCTGGGACCTTTTAGCTCTTTGTCCCCAAATATTTCAAGAATACAGCCCACTAAGTTTCTTAAAATAAGATAATATACCCAGTAGGTCAAACAAACTGAAAAATGAAGGTATCCCAGCAGAAAGCCTTAAGACTTTTCAAGCTCCTCAAAAATGCCACTATAGGCCACTCTACTATAGGTCACAGCGGATGGCTACTCAAAGGTATCACTTGATGCTTCGGGTGGTCTGAGTATGGCCGTCATTACTGGCTGCCTCGCATCATTTCCTGTAGGTAAATGGTATTCATGTGATAGGCCGCCATCCACCCCGGATGCCTCTGAGCATTCCAGTAGTAGGACTGAGACGCAGCAGAATAGTACTCGTGCCAGGCCCTGTAGTAAGCTCTCCAGTACTCCTCGTAGTCCTGGTAGGGACCCGAAAGACCCGCCTGGGCGTCCCTCTGGCGGTCAGACCACTCATTTTCCTGGGACTCTGTCTGCGACCGAGAGGAGCGCCGAGGGTTCCTGCGGCTCTGCTTAGCGCTCTGGCTAGCCCCCTCTTTATGCCTTGCCTTTGTCTGGGTTTCAGGTGATTCCTGACAATCTACCAGATTCGGGGTGTCATTTCCATTCAGAGGTTGTTCCAAAGAGGTATGGCCAGCCACAGGGGTCGATGCCAAGTCCCTCAGCTGAATGTCAGAAGAGCCTCCCACATGTGCCTTATTTCCTTTGCTCCGGGACGAAGTCCTTGAGCTGGAAGAATCACTGTCGCTCTCAGAGTCTCCAGACTGACTACTACTTGCCAACACCCGCACCCTCTCTTCAGCAATTCCATTCCTCACAAAACCATTGTGAGGGTTCCCAGCCCGATCCCCAGGGCCCGTGTAGTGCCTGATGATCTCCACAGGCTTCTCCAGCCCCTCCTTGATATAGTGCTCATAGTCCTCCGACAATTCTGCAAAAGTCAAAGCGCGCGGCGGACGGGTTTTAAAGGCAGACAGACAAGGAATCTGGGGGAGCGGCACAGGGGAGCCCGCTCTGGCCTGGTGCGGGCTGTGGGCGCGTTCTGCAGGGGTCTCGGCAGGGTGCTGCTCTTGCTCCTCCGACTGCCCGGCCCGGCCCGGTGCTGTGGGCGATGCTGCTTTTTCGAGGATCCCACACTCCGAGTGGCTTCTCGCAGGAAGCTTCTGTTTGGTGGTGTTTCTGGATTTGACTGACAGTGCAGATACGGAAGTATTTCTACAAGAAGCCATGTGGTTACCATGAGCTTTCTGAGTTTGAGAGGTTCTCTCTATTTTCTGCATTTGCTTTCTGAGGGGCTGGCTGGGTACACTTGCTAAGCCATTTGTATGCACAGCAGCTTTAACCTCCACATCCCAATCCAAACATTCTTCCATCAGACCAGGAGGAATGGGATCTACAAAAAAAGAATAACATATTAACATTCTCCAGCTGCTCTAGACCAGCATTTTCTGAATGGTTTCATAAAACAAGTATCCTATACAATAAAAGCCTAATATGCTAAGTACCCGATCGTCCATTCAACCAATCAAAGCATAATATGCTAATGATATGCTAAGACCACTCAACCACTCACTATGACGTGCACTGACAACCAGGGGACAGACGCTTTGACCAGTAGGTTAGCTTGCTGCTGGGGTCGGGCAGATCGGGACTGAGTGAGATGGCCAGACACGCCCTGGAGCCCTCCCGTGGCCCCTCCCCCCGCCCCGGCCGGCCCTGCCCCCAATCGGCCCCCATCGGGGCGGGCTGGCCAGACCCCACCCATGCACGAATTTGTGTACCGGGCCTCTAGTTTTGTACATAAAGACATAAGCTTAGAGCAGCAATTTTCAAGAGGTGTGCAGTAAGAATTTTTAAAACGTGCAATACCTGACTGTTTGGTCAGGTGCACTGACCTCTTTTCCTAGATTGTCAAGTAAAACTATGACAGCAGCCAACACAATAGCCATCCAACATGAATAAATCAAAATTAAAGTTATATTTTTTGTCAGATCAGCAAAAACTATATTTTTTGGTGTGCCACAGAATTTTAATGATTAATTTATGTGTGCAATGAAATGGAAAAGGTTGAAAATTGCTGGCTTAGCGTAAAGAAATCTGTAAAAAAAAATTTACAAAATGACTTATTACAAAGTCAGAATTATTAGAATCCACAGACCTGTGACTAATTTAGCTTTGTAAAAAATCACTATAGGAGTTAAGCATAAATTTGGTAAAATTTTCATTGTCAGGATTATTCAATCTATAATCTATATATATGAAAGGCTAAGTGGCCGACCGTCCATCCAACCAACTGGTACATGTGACGCGCACTGGCAATTTAAAAATAAACGTTGACTTGCACATGAGCAATACATATAAAGCTCTCACTGATGCCGATCTAGACAGAGTAGGAATATTCCTACCTGAACCAGTTTTTGGACATGGTCAGTTATACGTTACTTTCTTTCAAGTTTGAAGAGCGTGAGACATTAAAGTTAAAGCTGTAAATACTTCAGCACAAGGGAAATTAGTTAAGCACTCTGAAAGTGTTTTTACTTTTAATGTTATATACCGGGAGATATTTGAATAAGTTTAATCAATTTATCTGTCATTGTTTTTAATCAATGTTGTTTTTATATGTTTTTGTTTTCATATCATATCTTTGTTATATCATGTTACTGTTTATTAATCAATTTATATATTATTTTCATATACATTTTCTAATTTTCTTTCATCTTTGACATTTCTATTATAAAGAAAGGGCAAATAGTGATATTAAAATATTTCTTCTAATTAATTTCCTTTCAATGTGCACAAATCTGTGCACCGGGCCACTAGTAACTACATATCCCATATTCCAGGTCATACAATACACTATATAAGTACACAGTTATGGATGTGTACATATACACATATGTAGACTGATATATACACTAACAAGCATACTAAACTAACATAGCAAATAAACTATATTTCCACATAAGAGTTCTTAGGGTTTTTGTTTTCAAGAGGTCATTAATAGTTTCAGACACACACTTTCTAAGATGGCACTTAAAAAGAGCAGCTTGAGAAATGATTCACTAAAATCGAAAACACTTCAAAAATTTCAAAACAGTGTTTAAAAGATACTGCTCCTTCCCCATGGTGACAAAAGAGAATATGGCAAGAATTGCCTTCACAGCGATATGCAGTAAAATATTCCCCTTTTATAAAACAATAAAATCAAATTACAAGGCTACAAACTAAAAAACGGAGCTAATATGTAGTAAGACATTTTTCATGTGCCAATAATTAGCTTGCGATCTTCTCCCAGCTATTCATTAGCTGAAAGACCTTAGGCAAATTACCTAACCTCTCTATGCCTCAGTATCCTCATCTACAAAATACACACAGTAACAGCACACACCTCCTAGGACGGTGGTGAGAATTAAACGAGTTAGCACACGTCAAGTACTTAGAGCAATGCCTGAGACGATGTAAGTGTTCTGTGTTAGTGGCTATTTTTATTAGGCCTCTCATTATTATCACTATTATTTTGATAGCAAAATGAAACAAACAAATATACCTGGTAAAGGCAGAAGGTTGATATTACATTTCTGGGCAATTTTCATCATCGTATTTTCTTCTTCTCCCCGGCAACAGTAGGTCACTGCCAATCCCAAAGTACCTAAAGCCAGAGGGAATGTTAAGTAGTAAGTCATTTTCACCTAAATGGCACTCCAAGTCCACTGTCACATTCCAGATTCCTCCCCTTAAAGCACACCAACTTGTCTATTTACCAAAACGGCCAGCCCTGCCAATCCGATGCATGTATGTCTCCCAGTCCAGTGGCACGTCCAGATTTACAACCAGATTCACCTTCTCAGCATCAATCCCACGGGAAGTCTTGAATCGAGAAAGAGAGCAACTGTCTGCATTACCTGTAGCATGGTACCCATGTACACCACCTTATTCTAGTCTAACCAGGAGCCAAATTAAGACAAGAAGATATTTAGGAGGAAGGAGCAAAGAAAAAGGAAATTTATTTCTGTGACTAATTTCAAGAACAAAGATAAAAATATAAGACATTATTATTATTCACCCAAACTGAAGAGGATATTTACCAGATCTGTGGAGATGAGGACTCTGCAATGAAACTGCTTCAGTTTAGCCATAGCATCGAGACGCTGATTCTGATTCATGTTGCCTAAAAAGACCCAAACACACAATTATCAAATCCAAAAAAAGCAGGAATCATAACTCCCAGTCTTAACAATTTAAAAAGTTAATGCTGTCCTTATATGCACATCTAGGTTAAGACCTACAGTCAGAATCTTTTAAAATATAGTTAAGCAATACACCTGAAATTTAAAAAATCAATTTTAAGCCCTAGCCGGCTTGGCTCAGTGGATAGAGAGTCAGCCTGCGGACTGAAGGGTCCCAGGTTCGATTCCAGCCTAGGACACATGCCTGGGTTGCGGGCTCGATCCCCAGTAGGGGGTGTGCAGGAGGCAGCCAATCAATGATTCTCTCTCATCATTGATGTTTCTATCTCTCTCTCCTTCTCCCTTCCTCTCTGAACTCAATGAAGAAATATATTTTTTAAATCAATTTTAAATGGTGATTAAGTTATGCCTGCAGATACAATATTATATCTGAAAGTCACATGTAAAGTATAACAATTCTTAGGAAAATAAAATTGCTTTAATCGGCTATTTATAAATTTTGTGTTGAAGTGTGATCTATAGTCAAAATATTAGTCCATCAGAAAACAGTGTCCCCAGTATCTCAGGATATACCAGGGCTAAACAAGCTAATAGGTTAAAGACTAAGCTGAGATACCAATCAAAACTCTAAAAAGGCCCGGCTAGCAAGGTTCAGTGGTTGAGCATCAACCTATGAACCTGGAGGTCACGCTCGATCCCTAGTGTGGGGCCTGCAAGAGGCGGCTAATCGAGGATTTGCGCTCATCATTGATGTTTCTCTCTCCCTCTCTGAAATCAATAAAAATAAAAACTCTAGCCCTGGCCGGTTTGGCTCAGTGGATTGAGCGTCGGCCTGCGGACTACGATTCCAGCCAACGGCACATGCCCAGGTTGCGGGCTCGATCCCCAGTAGGGAGCATGCAGGAGACAGCCGATCCATGATTCTCTCTCATCACTGATTTTTTTTTTTCTCTCTCCCCCTCTCCCTTCCTCTAAAATGGATCTCACTGATCAAACATTCCTTGAAAGCTTTTATTGCTACTAGGCCAGCAGTAATAACTTGGGTTTGTGTCAAAATGAATCACTTTTGCCTACCACAAGACCATAAAACAGTCAGTTCGGTTAGCGATTCTTTAACATTTTAACAATGATTGTCAAGAAGCAAAATATTTTCCTCTTAAGATGACAAAAACAAACTTTGTGTGAATATAAGTCCAGTTTTCTAATTTTTTTATTATATACCAAATTACTTCTTAAAAGAATATACTGACATGTTTCTATCTCTCCCTTCCTCTCTGAAATCAATAAAAAAATATATTTTAAAAATCCCAATGAAAAATGAACCTGGAATTTCCTTCACTCTGAAGACTGAGCGCAACCTCACACTCACAAGACAACTCTTGAAGTGGTATTTCTGCCGTGACCCGAGAGAGGCTTCACTTCAGAATACTAAACAAGGATTAAAGTGAGAGGAACTCACCGGAAATGCACTCCGCGGGAAAGCCTTTAGAAGTAAGGATGTCAGCCAAGTGCTGTGCTCTATGAAAATGGCAGAGGGCGAGAATTTACAGCCGCTCCCACACCCATTCTTTTCTCTCACAAGCTCCCCCAGGTGGCCTGTCACGTAATTACCTGCTGTGTAAATTAGAAAAGACCAAGGCTTGATTAAACGGAATCCTGCTGAGCAGTTCCTGTAAATGCTGGGCCTTTTCTTCAAAAATCTTATGGGCCAAAGGGTACAAATTGACAACTTTGTAATACTGCTTCAAACCTATGAAGAAGCCAAGAGCCGTCTGTTAAAACACCGTTAGCTGCAACCCCATAAGAGCACATATAAAAGCAACAGGCAACTGGGCACCAAGAAAAATTCCAGAGCATCACACACCAGTAATGTAAGTATCCAATATCTATACTCACCTAGGAGACTTGGGTCACTGGAATTGAGTCTTACAAAAGTGGGATCTCTCATGTACTTTGCCAAAGCATTAGCCAAAAATTCTGGGTAAGTAGCTGATACTGCCACCATCTGTTTACTGGCAGGCAAGGAAGAATAAATCCAACTGCAAAACAGAAGAACACACGCCATGGAAACGATTCAGGCAGTAATCACCACCTGGAAAAGCTACAGACAGACACTTTGGGGCACCATTTTAATAGCCAAGTTAGTTGTATTTCTTACTTTATTTGCTCCTGGAAGCTGCCTTCTTCTAAAAGCTTATCCGCTTCATCCAGAATAAAGAGACGTACACTGCCTGGGTTCAAGTAGTCAAGTTCTATCAGTTGTTTAATTCTGCCTAAATTTATTTTTAAAAAAGAAATATTTATGGTGAAAAAAATTTGTGCAAGTCTCAGCCAATGCCACTCTACTCAGAGGTTGTATTGCTGACTATCCTGATGCAATCTTCATTTATGCACTAAACCACAAACCAGAAATTCTGAGTTCTGATTTTGCCCAATTCCATTTTCCCCCCCTCACATGTCATTAGCAATAAGTATGGAAAATACACTATTCCTATCAAAAACTTGAATGGCTAAGGGGCTGAATGCTAGACTCTAATCCTGAGTGATTCAGGACTGGATGATTAAAGCAAAGAATAACCCAATGCATGGCTTAGAAAGGCTTCCTGAAAGTCATCTCGCGCCTCTTTCTCAGAAGCCTGCCCCATACATGCTCTTCAACTATTGTGTTTTTAAATATATTTTTACTGATTTCAGAGAGGAAGGGAGAGGGCAAGATAGAAATATCAATGATGAGAGGGAATCACTGATCAGCTCCTGCTGCACGCCCCTCACTGGGAATAGAGCCCGCAACCTGAGCATGTGCCCCTGACCAGAATCGAACTTGGGACACCTCAGTCCACAGGCCGATGCTCTACCTACTGAGCCAAACCAGCGAGGGCACAATATTATTGTTATATTAAAAGTGTTCAGCCCAGGCAGTGTGGCTCAGTGGTTGAACACTGACCCATAAACCAAGAAGTCACTGGTTCGATCAGGACACATCCCCAGTAGGGGGTGTGCAGGAGGCAGCCCATCGATGATGCTTCTCTCTCATCAATGTTTCTATCTCTCTATCCCTCTCCCTTCCACTCTCGCTAAAAATCAATAAAAACTTATTTTTTTAAAGAAATGTTTAGTTCCTAAAAGCTCCTGTTACGGACAGGCATTGATACCTTACCAGGAGATCCAACGGCAATATGACATTTTTTAAGTCTGGTTTTGTCTTGAGGTAAAGGAGTCCCTCCAATAAAGACATGACACTCCAAGCCTTCCATTTTTATTCCAATGGCCATGATAACAGAATGTATCTGTACAGCAATTTCTCTTGTAGGTGCCAAGATCAAAATCTAAGAAAATGTAAAATACACCTTTAATGAGTCAATCAAATAAGTACATGTGATTGGCGTATTATATAATGAGCTATTTTCCTTTGAATGATCAGTTTATTCATTCAGCAAATCCTATATAAAAAAAGCCTAATATGCAATTGTTCAACCAGGAGTTCGACTGCTTGCTATGACATGCACTGACCACCAGGGGGCGGCACACACTGGCAGCGAGTGGCAGTGGAGGCGCTGCCAGCAGCAACAAGAGCAGGACCGGGGCAGGATGGTGGAGGTGAATAGGCGGTGCCAGGCCAAGGCAGCTGCGAGCAGGGGCCTGATCACCCTGACCGACTGCCCCGCAGATGGCGACCAACGACTGGCAGGCCCTGATCGCCCAATCGGGGCCAGGCCCCAGGCTGGTACGAGGAACTGGGGGTGGGTGGTGGTGACCAACCTCCCACAGTGCCCCGGAGGGGGGCTGCAACCTCTCCTCGGCTACCTGGGGGCAGGGGTGATGGGGGCGGAGGTGCGGTGAGCATGTGGGGTGCCTGCCAAGCTCACTCTCACTCCCCCTGCTACCCTCCCCCAGGACGCCAGGGGTCGCGCGCCAGGGACCCCACACTCAGGTGCCAGACGCCCGCAAGGAACCCACCCTGCACCCGTGCGGCCTCTTCCAGCTGAGCCGGGCCACAGCCACCGGGATTACAGGGCTCCCCATGGGTTCATACAGGAGCCAGTCTGCGAGGCCAGCCAGGAGAGAGAGCACTGCCCGCCCGGCTTCTGTGCAGCACCGCTGGGTGGCCCAGAGACCACGCTGCACCCCGGCCCGCGGCATCCGGCCACACCCACCGCATCTCTATGTGGGGACTCGGGCGCCGTGACTCAGGCGGAGGGGGCGCGCGTGAGGGCCCAGGACCCAGGTGCTGCCCAGGCCCCAGAGGTCAGCTGGGACCTGCCCTTCCACGCCAGATGCTTGTGCTTCCATCGCCAGCCAGGCCAAGGGACCACACCCGTGCACAAATTTCGTGCACTGGGCCTCTAGTATTAAATAAGAACCTACTATGTTCTAAGCAACATACAAATTGCTGTGAAGTCAACATTTAACGGTACAAAATCCTTGCTCTAATGGAACTTTCATTCTTTTTTTTTAAATTTCATTTTAGAAAAAAAATTTATTTATATTGATTTCAGAGAGGAAGGGAGAGAGAGAGCGACTTAGAAACATCAATGATGAGAGTCACTGATCGGCTGCCTCCTGTACTCCAGGCATGTGCCCTAACCAGGAATCAAACCGAGACCTGGTTCATAGGTTGACACTCAACCACTGAGCCCACACACTGGTAAGAAGATATATAATAAACAAATGATAAGATATACAATAAACAAACATCCTATATAATAAAAGGGTAATATGCAAATCGACCGAATGGCAGAACAACCAATCGCTATGACATGCACTGACCACCAGGGGGCAGATGCTCAATGCAGGAGCTGCCCCCTGGTGGTCAGTACAGTCCCACAGGGGGAGCACCTCTCAACCAGAACCTGAGCTGATGCCTCCGCCCACTCCATGGGGAGCGGGCCTAAGCCGTCAGTCAGACATCCCCCAAGGGCTCCTGGACTCCAAGAGGGCACAGGCCAGGCTGAGGGGACGCCCCCCTTCCTGAGTGCATGAATTTTGTGCACCGGGCCTCTAGTACATAAATAATAGCAGGAAGTAAAAAGTGTTGTGAAGAAAAATCAAACAGGGAAAAGAGAAAGAAGCAACAAAAAAAGGAAAGGAGCCCTAGCCAGTTTGGCTCAGTGGATAGAGTGTTGGCCTGAGGACTGAAGGGTCCCAGGTTCGATTCCGGTCAAGAGCACATACCTTGGTTTCAGGCTTGATCCCCTGTACCGACAGGGGCATATGAGAGGCAACCCATCAATGTGTCTCTCTCACATCAATGTTTCTCTCTGTTTCTCCCACTCCCTTCCACTCTCTCTACAAATCAATGGAAAAATATCTTTGGGTGAGGACAAAAAACAAAACAAAACAAAACACCATACAATCTTCCAAAACTCAATCGGGAAGAAAACCTGAGTAGGCCAGTAACAACTGATGAAACTGAAGCAGTAATTTAAAAACTTCCAGCAAGCAAAAGTCCTGGACCAGATGGATTTACAGGAGAATTTTACCAAACATTCAAAGATGAACTAACACCAATCCTCCTCAAACTATTCCAAAAAATTCAAGAGGAAGGAACACTTCCAACCTCTTTACACAAAGCCAACATTATCCTAATTCCAAAACCAGATAAAGACGCTACAAAGAAAGAAAATTAGAGGCCATATCCCTGATGAACACAGATGCTAAGATCCTCAACAAAATATTAGCAAATCAAATCCAGCAATATGTTAAAAAGATCATACACCATGACCAAGTGGGATTTACCCCAGGGATGCAAGGCTGATATAATATTCGCAAATCAATAAACATGACACACATCACATAAACAAACTGAAAGATAAAAACCACATGATCATATCAATAGATGCAGAAAAAGCATTTGATAAAACCCAGCACCCTTTTTTGATAAAAACTCTCAGTAAAGTAGGAATAAAGGGATCATACCTCAACATAATAAAGGTTATATATGACAAACCTACAGCCAACATAATACTCAATGGGCAAAAACTAAAAGCGTTTCCGTTAAGAATAAGAGCAAGACAAAAAGTTGGGAAAACTGGACAGATACATGCAAAAAAATGAAACTAGACCACCAACTTTCACCATACACAAGAATAAACTCAAAATGGATAAAAGACTTAAATGTAAATCGTGAAACCATAAAAGTCCTAGAAGGTATTTTCGCACAGGCAGAAAAATCTCAGACATCTCTCATAACAGTATGTTTACGGATATACTAGTATCTCCTGAAGTGGTCGGCAAACTCATTAGTCAACAGAGCCAAATATCAACAGTACGACGATTGAAATTTCTTTTGAGAACCAAATTTTTTAAACTTAAACTATATAGGTAGGTACATTGTTATTAACTTAATTAGGGTACTACTAAGGCTTAGGAAGAGCTACACTCAAGGGGCCAAAGAGCCGCATGTGGCTCACGAGCCGCAGTTTGCGGACCACGGTCCTAGGGCAAAAGACATTAAGAAGAAAATAAACAAATGAGACTACATCAAAATACAAAGCTTCTGCACAGCAAAAGAAACCATCAACAAACGAAAAGGGAGCCCACTGGGAGGGAGAACACAGTTGGCATCTGATAAAGGGTTCGTATCCAAAATGTATAAGGAACTCATACAGCTTTTTTTTAAAAAATATATTTTATTGATTTTCCACAGAGAGGAAGGGAGAGAGATAGAGAGTTAGAAACATCGATCAGCCACCTCCTGCACATCTCCTACTGGGGATGTGCCCGCAACCCAGGTACATGCCCTTGACCGGAATCGAACCTGGGACCCTTCAGTCCGCAGGCCGACGCTCGATCCACTGAGCCAAACCGGTTTCGGCAGGAACTCATACAACTTAACAAAAGGAAGACAAACAACCCAATTTAAAAATGGGCAAAGGACCTAAATAGACACTTCTCCAAAGTGGACATACAGATGGCCAAGAGACAGATGAAAAAATACTCAAAGTCACTGATCATCAGAGAAATGCAAATTAAAAAGACAATGAAGTATCACCTCACACCCGCCAGAATGACTACCATCAACAAATCAACAAATGACAAGTACTGGCAAGGCTGTGGAGAAAAGGGAACCCTAGTGTACACTGCTGGTGGAATGCAGACTGGTGCATTGTGGAAACAGTATGGAGTTTCCTCAAAAAATTAAATATGGAACTGACATTTGACCCAGCAATCCCACTTCCAGGAATATACCCTAAGAAACCTAAGACCCCAATCAGAAAGAATGTATGCACCCCAATGTTCACAGCAGCACAATTTACAATAGCAAAGATCTGGAGCCCAGCCGGCGTGACTCAGTGGTTGAGCGTCAATCTGTGAACCAGGACGTCACGGTTCAATTCCCAGTAAGAGCACATGCCCAAGGTTGTGGGCTCGATCTCCAGTGTGGGGCGTGCAAGAGGCAGCCAGCCAATCAATGATTCTGTATCATCATTGATGTTTCTATCTCCCTCTCCCACTTCCTTCCTTTCTGAAATCAATAAATACATATTTTAAATTAAAAAAAGATCTGGAGCCGAAACCGGTTTGGCTCAGTGGATGGAGCGTCGGCCTGCGGACTGAAAGGTCCCAGGTTCGATTCCGGTCAAGGGCATGTACCTGGGTTGCGGGCACATCCCCAGTGGGAGATGTGCAGGAGGCAGCTGATCGATGTTTCTCTCTCATCGATGTTTCTAACTCTCTATCTCTCTCCCTTCCTCTCTGTGAAAAATCAATAAAATATATTTAAAAAAAAAAAAGATCTGGAAACAGCCCAAGTTCCCATCAGTAGACAAGTGGATAAAAAAGCTGTGGTATATTTATACCATGGAATATTATGCAGCACTGAAAAAGGAGGGTCTCTTACCCTTTGAGACAGCATGGAGGGACCTGGAGAGTATTATGCTAAGCAAAATAAGCCAGGCAGAGAAAGACAAGTATCACATGATCTCACCCATATGTGGAATCTAATGAACAAAATAGATCCAGAGACACAGAAGCATTGAACATAATGCAGAATCTCAGAGGGAAGATGGGAGAGGGTGGGTGAGTAGAAGTGATCAACCAAAGAACTTATAACTTATATGCACACATGCATAACCCATGGACAAAGACAAAAGGGTAGTGAAGGCCTGGGGCGGGGGAGGTGGTTCGGCCAGGAAGGACTACAAGGGGTCAATGGCGGGGGGGGGGGGGGGGGGGGGGGGGGGGGGGGGGGGGGGGGGGGGGGGGAACATATGTAATACTTTCAACAATAAAGATCTACAAATAAATAAATATATACTAGGAGAAAATATGCCAAATAAATAAAAACCAGGAGAAAATATGCCAAAACTGTTCATAGCAGTTTCTCTCTAGGTATGTGAGATTATACTTTTCTGGTACTTATTCATTTTTCTGAATTTTCCCCATTTTCAAAAATGAATATGTATTACTTCTTAACACAAAGATCTTAAATTTTTAAAAATACAGGTCTTATTTATGGAACTTATTCAGGGTTTTGGCATTTGCCTTGCTGACAAATTATCAAAAGCCTAAATCTCAAATATGTTGCCGTTCACAAGTAGAATAACCCAGGACCTTGGGGAGTCGAAGGATTTCCTCTGTGCAGCCTCTCCCAGGATTTGGTAGGTATAAGGTAGGACTCCAAAAGCTTTACACACCAAGAATGTAGGTTTCTGGGTGAAAAACCATCATTAGATACATGACTGAGAATGTGAAATAGCTTGCTGTAACTACTAAACCACAAAGCAAACCTATAAGGATCTTACCGGCTTCATCTTTGTATCCCCAATGCCTGGCAAACTATTAATAATATGGGCTTAACAAATCTTTTAAGAAATGACCCCCAAACTCAAATCTCCTGTTCACCTTAGACCTATTCCAACAGACTGTCAGGGGTGGGGAATGCCGGGTCCTCGGCCAAGGCATTAGGGGTGAGTTAATTAAACGTTTAACTAAATATAGCAGGCTAATTTTTAAGTTGATAAGTTTGTATGGCCCCAGAATGATGTTATAAATATTCAAATGGCCCTTGGCAGAAAAAAAGGTTCCCCACCCCTGCCCTAGAAGATGGGAGACCAATGATACATTCACCGAGCTGGACCAGCCACCTGCAGTTATCAGCAAAAGCCAGAGCACCACACGGCCATGAATCGGGCCGAATGCTAAATCTCACCCCAATTTCATCAGCAAGCAAAAAATAATATCAATCTGTATTCTCAAGTAATGACATAACTGACATGCATGACATTCTATTTAAGATGCAGTAATAATAGAAAATTCCTAGCTTCTAACACTAATGCATCCTTGGTCACCAGCCCCACCACCACCACTCAATGACCTGGGGACCAAGAGGAGCCACAAGCTAACCTGACCAGCTCAGGGAAGGCCAGCATGGCGGCCTTGCATATTCAGAGACCTAACGTAACCACACAGGATGGTCTGAAATTAAAACTTTTAACTAAAGGCAGTGTATGGCAGGTAGTCATGTCCTAGGCTAGCATCTTCCCTGATAAAAGTCAATCCTGCCGAAACCGGTTTGGCTCAGTGGATGGAGTGTCATATGTGGACTGGAGGGTCCCGGGTTCGATTCCGGTCAGGGGCATGTACCTGGGTTTCGGGCACATCCCCAGTGGGGGATGTGCAGGAGGAGGCTGACCGATGTTTCTAACTCTCTATCTCTCTCCCTTCCTCTCTGTAAAAAATCAATAAAATATATCTAAAAAAAAAAAAAAAAAAAAAGTCAATCCTTACCTTGACTAAGCCTGTCTATTGTCTTTGCATCTATGATAACACGAGGCCGGATGCACGGAATGCGTGCAAGGGGCTCGGCCCCCACCGCAGCCTTGGGGGGAGGGGGGGTTCTGCCTCATCCCCTTCATCCGGAAGGGCGTCGTCTAATTAGCATATTACTCGTTTATTATTATGGAAGATTCCTTTGGAATGTCAAGGTAACTCCTTTTTCCAGACCCCTCGGGGCACAACCAACGCACCAGGGGGGAGAGCTTAAATCCTCATTGCTATTGCTATCATATTAGTGACTGAATTATCCTGTACCCACCTGTGCAAAACATGTGTCTATCATTGGACTTTTCAACCAATCCCAAGGGTTTCCCTGCTTTGCTTTCTCCCGCCTCCCTAATCTAGCACCAGTGAATTTCATGTCACCCACCTGCAGCTTCTCTTTTGATGGTAATGCGTAAAATTAGGTGCAAACCTGCCATTCTCTGCGGCGTTACCTCAATCCCTTGATGTCTTGCTCCCTGGCTTTTGGCTCAAATAAACCCACGAACATTCTCTACAGGTCGGTATGTTTCTGCTGCTGACAGCCCTGCTGTCTCACTTTCATACTTTCCACGTGGCTTCACTCAGTCCGTCACCGAGTTCGCATCTATTTCTGAGGAGCCGCTGGTGTTGCATCCGCCCCGCGGTAAAGCCCGCGGCGCGCACCCTCCTCCGCGTGAACTCACCTGGGTGCTCACGTTCTCCAGGACAAGCGAGTCCAGCGCAATGGTGGAGAAGACGCAGGTTTTCCCGGTGCCGGACTTCGCCTGAACAATCAAGTCTGCAAAGAAAAACAAAATGATCACTAGACGGTACCGACTGGGGGTGCCTGGGGGCCAAACAGGAACCCCGGAGCTAGCAGGGCCTGCAGAAATCCCCAGCGCGCGCCTCCGCGTCCAGTTAGCTCTCGACACGGCAGGCCGTGCCCCGCAGCGCGCCTCGTGCCCGCGCCCGACCCTCCCGTCGGTCCCCTCCAGCCGAGAGCCGCGTGCCCGCGCGCAGCAGCCGCAACCAGCTGTACGCTCAGCCCCGCGCCCCCGCTGCACCGGAGCCGGTTAACGGAGGCCTGCACGCGGGCAGGGCCTGCCTGTTCTCCCCGGACCGCGCCGCCGCCCGCGGGCCCCCCTCGGCCTCCCCGCCCTCCCCGAGCCCGCAGCGCCCCGGGGTCCCGCCCTCACCGAGCCCGCAGCGCCCCAGCGGGATGGCCTTGAGCTGCACGGGCGAGGGCCGCTCGAAACCGGCCGCCCGCAGCCCGTCCAGCACCGGCCGCGACAGCAGCAGCGACTCGAAGTCCGCGGGCTCGGCCAGCAGCACGTCCCCCGTGCGGGTCCGCGGGCCGCTGACGTCGTGCGCCGTCCGCAGGCTCCGCGCCGGCCTGCGGGGGGCGGCCACAGGCTCCGCCACATGCTCCGGGGGCGCAGCGTTCTCCTCGGGAGCCAAGGCCGCCGGGGCTTCAAACGCCGCCGCCATGGTAGCCGCGCCACGTGATCTCGCGGTACTTGGGGCGGGGCGGGAGCCTGAGAGCGAGAAGAAGGAAAACTTTATTAGCACTCTTCCGCGGAGACACGGACACGCCCGGCCGGGGCGGGGCGGGGCTGAGCGGAAGTCGGAGGTGTGGAGAGACGGCGCTGCAGCTAGAGCCGCGAACACGTGCGGCCTGGGGAGGCGGAGGGAGGAGCGGGGAGGATACCGGTGCGTCGCCGCCTGCGGCCTGCAGAGGGCGCCGCGCGTCCGCGCTGGAGCCGCCGCCCCGCCTCCCGGCCTCTGTGGGCGGGTCCTCGGGCCCCGCGCCGCGCCTCACGCTCGCAGCGCACGCTCATTGTGACGCGCGCACACGTCACGCTCCCGGCTCCCCGCCTGGGTTCGGCGGTCGCCTCCCCACCGCCCTTCCCTCTCCGGCGCCCACCCGCCGCCCCTCTGCGCCCGCGGAAGGCGCCCGGAGTCTGGCTAGAAGACACTGACCGCGCGGTCCGGTCTCGTCCGCGGGACCGAGGTATTCATCTCGGGTCCCAGCCCCCCGCGCAGTGCCCGGCGCCCGAGCGCTAATGCAAGTGAATTGCATCGAAGCTGGCAGACGGACTGACACTCCCGAATTCTAGCTCCACCCTAAACTCTAGGCTTGGACACCCATCCCCCTTCTCAGCGTCTCCGTGTAGATGCCTAACAGACGTCGCAAATGTAACCCTTCTGTGCGTTGCTCCCATCCCTCCCGATCCCTCTGAGGGTGCTTAGTTTTTCACCACCTTTGCTGGACACCCTAGGCTCCCAGCCTGCGGCTCCCCGTTCCTCCTCCCCGGCTCTGCTTTCCTCCGTGGCACTTCCCACTGCCGACGATGACGTGGGCTTATGGTGTCGCCCCCTCCGTGAGGACAGAGGCCTGTTCTGTCCTGTTGCCGCTGTGTCTCTAATGGGAAAGGGACAGTCGGACACACAGTGAGTGCTCACTATTCACGGAATAACTGATTGCCTATAACAAGCTTTAGTCATGATTCCATGTCTGTAACTTACAATTCCAAACTCTAAAAATTTCTGCATCCAAACCCAACTTTTTCCTTTGTCCTTATAATCCTGGTCCTTACATTTCAATTGTGCACGCACACACACACACACACACACACACACACACCACTCAGTGATTCCGTGACTCCAAAGCCTATAGGAGGGACTTGGGCATGATAATCTCATTGAAAGAGGGTCCTAGAGATGCATTTTGCTTAGAAATGTAGAAAATGTCAACCGTCCGTAGGAAAGAAGGGGCACCCCTGGGAGGGGGCGGGCAAGGTGCCAGGCTTCCTCTTGGTACCCCACCTCTCTTACCCACCTGATCCCCTGCCGGGAGCCATTCCAGCACGCTCAGCAGGGCTGAATCATCTGGAGTGGCGAGGGCATTTCCCCAAACCTGAACAGGATGCATTAAATTGTTTGCTGCCAGACAGCTCGGGGCATCTTTATCTACATGATATTGCCTCCTACTGGCCAAACACCTGAACAGCCGTAGGCAAGTCTTCCAATCTGACCATGGACTCGGTAAATGAAACCTGACCCTTTGAAGAGTATATCTCTGCCTCGCCTCAGGACAATTTGTGTTAATGAAAAGCATGGGGTCCTGAGACGAGGAGAACTTAGTTGCTTTAGCTAGGCTCCTCTGACCCCCAAATGCCTTTCAAAATTATGCTTCGTCTCTGGACTCTTATTTAAGTTACACACAGCCCCTTCTCCAGATTGCTGAACCCTTCTTAATGCTGGAACAAGAACCCCGGCAACTCCCAAATCTCACAGACCTGGGAATTATTCTCGACTTCACCTTCTACCATCCCTCTCCCCTTTCTAACCATTTGGTGCAGGTAATTGTCTCCACATATCTCACCTGTTCCTCTTCTCCAGTCTCCCTAGCCTAGCACCTGCCCTATGAGGCCCCTTCATCATCCTAACTATTGCAACCAGCTGCTGAATGCTGTCCCTGCCCAGCTTCTTCCCACTCCAGCCACCCACCCCGCGGGTGACGGCATGATTTTCCTTAAGCGGATCTCTTAGGTGGTTTGGGTCCAGCTCCAGATCCTGTTCCTCGTGATCACCTTTTTTATCGCCCACCCCAGGCTCCCCTTTCACACCGCACATACTTCCAGTCTAGCTCTCACCATGTTCTTGTTCCTTGTTTACATGTCTGTCCCTCGCACTCAAGAAACGATGAGCTTCTGAAGGAAGGAATTTTGGGTGCCCCAGGCTCTCCAGCCCAGCACCAGGCCGGTGGTGGACCTCAGGAACATGGGTCAACTGGCTGACACTTTCTTGCTCAAGAGTCCCTGCCGCGTCTCCATGCCCACAGGTGTGGTCTGCCCACAGGTGTGGTCTGCAGAACTCAAACCCGTCACTGCCGAAGACCCAGCTCTCCTGCCAAAGGAAACAAAAAGACTAGTTTTCCAGACAAGAACACTTGCCGTCTTAGCAGCATTCTGTTACTGCATGTGCTGGTTATGACACAAATGTTGCAGTGGGGTTACTGGGAGTCAATTGTATTGCTATAACTAAAAACACAAATCAACACAGTGTTTTCCTCAGTAGCCAAAAGTTGCAATAATGTGTTTGATCACACTTTTTGGCGCTGTAAAGATAAAACTCAAAGGCAAGAGACCACTGAATAGCTCGGTAAGGCATGAGAGGAACGGGCACAGAAACCAGTTGGACTGTTGTCTGCCTCCTGGTCTCCCTGCCCCGGATAAAATCGCAACGGGTGCCCAGCCTCCTTTTATGTGATTCCTTCTGCCTGGAAAGCCTGTCTCACCTCAGGTACCTGGGAGATGGAAGAAGAGGGAGTAAGACTCAGATTCCCAATGGATGTTGAGGTTCAAACGGTCCCCTCCAATCATTCCTATACCCAGAGGGAAAGAAGATAATGTAAGTAAAGGCAGGGACACGCCACCCCCCGCCCCAGGGGTGAGGATCTGTGGGGAAATGTGAAAAGAAGGGACTGTACTAAGGTTTTATAGCCACTTCTTCTCATTTGACACTCAAAGCAACAAAGGGTAGGCAAACGCTGGAGACACAAAAATAGGACAAAACAGAGCCCTTGCCTTCAGGGAGAAAGACACAGGCGCAGAGGAGGCGCTGATCCAGGAGGCCACACACAAGCCGCAGGGGGCGGTGTAAAATCACACGCAGGACTGACATTTCCCGGGCCTGCCCTGCCCTGCTCCTGGTGCGGCTCTCACGTGGGGGAGAGGAAACACTTCTGAGAAACCGAGGCAGACCGCCTTTGGCATTCGGAGAGCAATCGCTTTCTTCTCCCCGTCCTCCTCATCCCCGTCCCAAAGGCCAGCATTGCTGCCAAGACCCGGCACCAGGAGAGAGAGCTCGAGTCCCAGGAAGCCCTGGGGCTGGCTTCTGTGGCTGATGCTGAAGCGAACGTAGGTAAGGGGTTCGCCAGGCAGTGAGGGGGTTGGGGGGAGAGCTCCCCAGGCAGGCACGTTAGGGAGATATTCTGGGCAAAGAGAACAGTTTGTGCAAAGGCGTGGAAGCGGGAGAAACCAGTCGTTCAGGGAACGCAGGGCTTTAGTGCGAAGGAAGCAAGTATGACAGCAGTTACCAGGAAACGAGGCTGCGGAGATACATCCCTCCCACCTCAGGGAGACCCTTGCTGCCACCACAACCCATGTAAAATGAGTGCTGCCGGCCGCTGTGGCTCAGTGGCTGAGCATCGACCCATGAACCATGAGGTCAGTGGCTGATTCCAGGTGGGTGGGGGACACAGGCCCAGATTGCTGTCTCCATCCCCAGTAGGGGGCGTGCAGGAGGCAGCCGATCAATGATTCTCATCATGGATGTTTCTCTCCCCCCACCCTCTCTCTCTGAGATCAGTAAAAACTTACCAAGAAATGAGTGTGCTGTGTTCTCGGGAAAGGGGGGGGAGTGTTATGTAGCAATAAAGAGAAATACAGTCAGACATGTAGAGTGGGATTGGATTGACGGCCAAGGGGAGGGGTTTGGATTTTAACTTGCAGACTGTGGAGCATGATGGGAGTCTGGGAACTACCTGAGAGGTGACTGCAAGGGCCGCTTTGCCCCTCACAGGTCCTGGGTCCTGCCGGTGGTGGCACATGGCTCTCCCAGCGCCAGTGCTCCCTGCGTGCCCATATCCAGCAAGCGGTGACTGAGCACCGGGTCCCGAGTTCTCTTTCCCTCCTATAGTTATTCTTTTAACATACATGTATTTATTGGTTTCAGAGAGGGAGAGAAACATAAATAATGAGAATCATTGATTGGCTGCCTCCTGCACGCATCACACGGGGGATCAAGCTTGAAACCTGGACATGTGTCCCACCAGGAATCAAGCCGTGACCTCCTGGTTCACAGGTTGATGCTCCACCACTGAGCCACACCAGCCAGGCTCCTCTATTCACTCTTCATTCAGTTCATCTGCTCAGTGGACTGGCACCATCAATAAACGTGTTCTCTCAGGTTTATCAAGTATGAGTACCTGGCCCTCCGGACAGAATCTATTATTCAGGATCCTGCTTAATCCAAAGTGGCTGCTCCCACGGCCTAGGGGGGGACCAGACCTTCAGACCTTTTCCCACCGGATTCAGAGGGCGGGAAGGGGGTGTGCACAGCAAAGGCGGGGCCCCTGCTCTGTGCAGCCACCTCTCGCCGCGGTGACTTACCTGCCCGACCATCCTCCCTCTCTCCAGACGGCACGCCCCTCTGCCCAAGGCCCAGGGTGATTAATTGCCCCTTTAATATCAGAGCCTCAGTCTTCAGGGACGGAGGCATCACGTTTGCTCTTCTCTGTGTGAGAGCGGGGCCCCATTCATTCTCATCCGGGCAGCATAATAAATAACCTGGCCCTGTTGGCAGGGATTTTATTAGAGACTGATGGGACATTTAACAATAACTGGGGGCCTGTGATTTATTAGGTGGGGAGGCCCGTGGGGTCTCTGAAGGCTGGGAACGTGGAATGTAATTGATAAAGCGGCTGTCAGCCGTGGTGAGATGCACTCAATAGAATATGCATTGGAGGGATTCTCGCTGGGGCTGTCAGGAGGGTGTCTGCTCGTCATAGCGGCTCCAAGGAGGATGCTGTCTGCTGGATATCTGGGGGAGACACGAACACCAGGGAGGGGACCCTGAAGGGGCCTGGGAAGGCTGCACCTGTCAGCTGCCCAGCCCGATGGGAGGAGGTGACACAAAGGAGCAAAAGGCAAAAAGCATCCCCCCCCAGGACTCCCATGGCCTTCGGGGGCCTTTGTCTCTCTCCAGTGAGCTGCCCGGGAACAGAGGTGCTGAGCACCCGCTTCCTGGCAGAGGAAGGACATGGAAGGCTGAACTGGCCAGAGGAGAGGTTTCTTCTGGACTTTGAAACCTCTGAACCCTGAGGTGTCTGCACTGAGACCCCGTGGCCTCCTCTCCAGCCTGACATTATACACACACCACCACCCCGCCCCAGTGACCCTCCTGCCCCCCAAGGCACACACGCTGGTGACCCCACACCCTCGCCGCCCCTTGAACCCTGCTCCAGGGGGCAGCTCGTCCGGCCACTGCTGATGTCCCGCCAA